TCTTTTCCATCTTACCATCTCTGCTTACTCCATTCCTGGAAACAAGTGGTTTGCTGGTCATTCAAAGTCACCTTTTGGTTTATTTAACAGGTTGGATAAAGTTCAATTGTGTGTTTTTTCTCTTTCACAGCGCCCCTCCACTCACCGAAAAGGAAGTTGAGGTAAGTGATTTGAGTGCTTTATGAAATTTAGTGCCTGTACTTGACTGGGCTTATTCAAAACATTCCTTCCTCCAGCCTCTAGCCCTGACATTTTTACACAAAAACGAGAAAGAGTGACTGTGGGATAATGTGGACATTCATGACCAGCCCTCCTGAACTGCTGAGATCCCCATTCCCACCTCAGTTAATGGAAGATTTTGACAAATTTGGTCAGAGGTGAGAAGGTAGTTGGAAGTTCCACGTTCCTTCAAGGATTGTTTATGTGCTTTAAATGTATGACTTAGTTACACAAAAGCAGCTGGGAGTCTGCAGAATTGCATCAAATTTATTTCAATATTATTGAAAGATGGTCAGTTTTCAAATTTTAAACTTTGGTCTAGAGGGAAGAGGGGTTTGCCCTCTGAGCCTTTCAGCTACCAGACAGCCAGTTCTGCTGAGGCGGGAGGCTGTGGTGAGCAGCCCAGCCTTCCCAGATTCACCCTTACTCCCCTTGGGCCTCCTTGTCCCAGTGGGGTTGTGAGCAAGCTGAGAGGAATTTGTGTTTCCTTCCCACGAAGGAGTAAATGGGCAAAGAGAACATATCAGAGGTGAGATGGTGAGAACTGCTGATGTGGACCAGATAAGAAGAGGAAGACAGACAGTATGAAGTACCCACCACCGATAGTGACAAGCACCTTGCACGTAGATACTGCACTTGCTGTTCATAACACGCTCCTAGCCATCCTTTCAGCTGATCCTCCCAGCAGCTCTGGAAAGCAGGTTGACCAGGAATTAGAACAAAGGAGAAAACTGCATGATTAAATAACTTTCCCAGACCCAGTTCTTTGCAAAACCAAGGTTTGGATTCAAGTGCTCCCACTGAACTCAGGACTCTTTATGTAACACTGCCATTAAGGGGGTGACCCAGGGACAGAGAAATAAGCATCAAGCATTACTCATAGACTTGACCAAGGACAGAAAATCCCCCCCACTGGGCTGTGAGCTCAAAGCCCATCCACTGACATTTGTGAAGGGGGCTGTGGGCAGCATGTTTAATGCCCAGACCCTGTCCTCAGATGCCTACAGACACAATCAACTTGCATCATGGTCGAAGTAGACCAGGCATTAGAAATGGACAGTCCAAGGTTAAATCCTGGCTTTGCTACTCATTGCGCCACCTTGAACTTAACCTCTCTGCTTTCGGTCTCTTTACCCATCAGAGGAATGTAACACTTCCCACTCCAGAGTGGTGTTGTGGGATTAAATGAGCCAACAGTAGTAAAACTCAGTAGTGCTGGTGTATAGTAGGTGCCCAATAAGGAGTAGTTTCGGTTTGCCATCGTCATCAGAGCTGGGTCAGTTTGGTTTTCTGGAGGTATCTGCCCTCCATGGGGCATGTTATAGGAACTTCAGAAGCTCAGGCAGAGTTGGTGACCACAGGGTATAAATCTGCTACCACTTGACTCAGGCAGGGCAGATGAAGGCTGTAAAATTGAAGATCGCTGTTTCCTTCCTGTGTGGAGTCTATCTGTCTATTTCTCCTCCCCAGTAGTTTCCTATTTTTCCAGGAATTCCATGTCTGATAAATATCACCTTTTAAGAGTTTGTTCATGCAGGCTGCATTTTTGGCATGAAATATTTATTTATTCCAGAAAGCTTATCCTAACAGAATTGTACCTGACCTTATTTAATCTCCTGGCAGCTACTTAAAACTGCTATTGATGTGGGATTTGGAATACTCTGGCTAGATGCTGGTTGAAGTTTGCTTTAAGTCAACAATGCTTAATCTCAAATGGAGCTTCTTTAAATACAGTGTTTTTATGCAAAATCTCCAAAACCTTCATGTAATAAATTCCAACATAAATCCAAACTGCTTACACAATCAGCTGTACTGGCCTGAGTTTATCTAAACCCAAATACAGGATGTTATTTTCTTAAAATTCAGGGAAGAGCAAAGCGTTAATCTCTTATTATTTTCCAGGAAAATACATTTGGTCTTCTGGTCCTGGGGAGGACCTAGCGTGGACCTCGGGTGACTATTTTACCATCTCTTGTGTGATTTACTGCGAAGCAAGCGTTGCACTTGCAACGTGGCTGCTTTGGTGACCGGTGCCGGGGGCTGCTGCAAAATGCTCATGCGAGAAGCACACCTGCAGCCTTGTTCCCTGCAATAACGCCTCCTAGCACCTCTCCCACACTCTTATTCCCAACAGAACGTGTTTGTACAACTATCCTTGGCCTTTAGAAATGACAGCTACACCCTGGAATCTAGAATTAACCAGGCTGAAAGGGAACGCAACCTGACAGAGGAGAACACGGAGAAGGAACTGGAAAACTTCAAAGCTTCCATTACGGTAATTATGGCGCTTGATCTGAAGAATTCTTGGGGAAGGGACTGTCTCCAAGGGCTGTGCTGGATGTCATGCTTCTGTCAGTCCCCAAGTAGGGTCTCTTGGAATGAAAAATTGAGCCAAGACTCTGACAGAGTCTTTCTCAGAGAGCTGGGAGGAACTGAGGCAGAGATCCCCAAGGGCCTGGTCACCACAGGCTGTGGGCAAGGCCCCGGGCCCTTGGGAGCTCCTCAGGAGGGGGCTGGGTGGCCTGGATGTGACGACTTCTTTCAGGCCAGCCAGGTATAGAGAGTCCACATTGGGCTTCTCCAATCCCAGAGAGAAGCTGTGGCCTGGGCCCTGCAGAGGCCACTTCTCTCAGCCAGGGTGGGGCGCAGGGGTTGTCTCATGAGAGCCTAGTCTGGGCTTGGTGTGTGTCTTAGTCACTTTGGGCTGCTATATCAAAGTACCATAGACTGAGTGGCTTAAACAACAAAGATTTATTTCTTGCAGTTCTGGAAGTCCAAGACCAGGGTGCCAGCATGGTTGGGTTCTGGTGAGGGCCCTCTTCAGGCTACAGACAGCTGCCTTTCCATCATATCCTGACCTGGTGGAAGGAGGGCAAGAGAACTTGCGAGGGTCCCTTTCATAAGGACAGTAATCCCATTGATGAGGGCTCCACCCTCATGACCTGATCACCTCCCAAAGGCCCTACATCCCTGTCACATTGGGAGTTGGCATTTCAGCACATGATTTTAGGGGAGACACACACATTCAGTCCATCACACGATTTGAAGACCCCAGGTGATGCTCCTTCTCACCCCCCAGTCCTCAGCTTCGCTCTGGCACCACTGTGAGCACCGGGAGACCTACCAGAAGCTGCTGGAGGACATCGCTGTCCTGCACCGCCTGGCTGCCCGCCTATCCAGCCGTGCTGAGATGGTGGGCGCCGTCCGCCAGGTGAGCCTCGCCAGCCCCCAGCCTTGCCAATTGGCTCTGTTCCACCTGCGTCAGGTGGAGCAGTGACTCGGGCAGCTACCACTGCACATACCACTTAATGATGGCTTCCTCTGGGCCGGCATCCTGTGGACATTACCGTGGAGGTGTTCAGTGCACTTGGGTGGGCCACTAAACCTCGGTGCTTCTTGGGAAAAACGTTTCTGTGGAAATACGTGTTTTGGGGGACCACTGCATACTGTCTTCCTTTCTTGGAGATTTCTAACACACGTTGGCATAACAAGGCTTTGAGAAGTCCCGTAGCGGAGAAGCCTGTTTAACTTTACCTATGTATTTCCTAAATGTATTTGACTGCAGAGCCCCTGCCCACTCCCCTTTATTTTTCTCAAAAAATAACTATTCAACTTCCATGGAACTAGAATTGGCAAAACGTGCTTTAGGAAAAATTACTTTGTTTCATTTAATCCACCCAGCAACCGTATAAAGTAAATATCCTTTTTCCCAGATGAAGATGCAGTCTTAGGAAAGCACTAGCACTAGTGAGTGGCAGCGTGGGCACCCAGGCATGGCCTGGCTGTCTCTTGGCCACTCTGAAGTCCTGAAGCTCGCAGAGCACTGCCCTGTCCGGCATGGTGTTGCAGATCACTCTGCCCAGTTCTAATCCCGGCTCCACCCTGCATGTGCTGTGTCACCTTGGCCTGGTTACCAAGCTCTTTACACCTCAGCTTCTTCAGCCAGAACTTGAGGATGACCGTGGTACCTGCCGTGTAGGGCTGCCGTGATACCTGTGAAGCACTTAGGTGTTGTTATCACTGTTGCTGTTGTCCCGGATCCATGTCCTGCTGCACTGGTCACATGAGAGGATGTTCCTGGGGTACAGCCCTGAGCAGTTCCTGAAAGAAGCCCAGCCACTGGGCTGTCCCACCCTGTGTCCTTCAGGGGAGGGGCACCTGACTCAGCAGTGTCACCCAGGAAGTCACTCCAGCTGGGAGCTGGAAGTGGCTGATCTCAGCCTCACATGGCTATAGGGACCTTTTCCAGGGAAGTCACTGGGCATGTCTCTCTGTGGCCAGGCAAGGCCCGAGCTAGGTCTTCTGAGGGACACAAGATGAGTACAAGCAGGGACAAGTCATCCTCATTGTACGCAGCCTTCCCAAACACGTGTCTCAGCCCATGTGCTGCTCACTCTGCCTTCACCCTTCTCCAGATGTCTCCCTTGCCCCAGCTTCCACGTCTCAGGCCTCCCCTTCCTCTCTGGCTCCCCCGGACCAGTTCAGGCCCTTGTCCTGTCTTTCCCTGCTGCTCTCACTACTGCCAGTCTCACTCCCTTCAGTCCCATCTCCACTGTGACCTGGTTATGTTACTCCCTTACTTTAAGACATTCAATGGCTCCCCTTTTCCCTCAGGATAAGTTCAAATTCCTTTGTTTAGCATTCAGGATCCTTCACAGCCCACTTCCAATTCACCCTTTGTTCTTATGAATAAACCCAACTGCTCGCCCACTCTTACATAAGTAGGATGACCTGTACGGTCTGGGTTTGCCAGACAGCCCTGATTTATGCTTGTTGTCCCAGAATAATGCAATAGCACCGCTTTTACTCTCCAAGGGATTCCTGTCTGAAATCCTCACCTGCATATGAGCCCTGTGCTTTTCTGCCTCTGGAGTTCCCTGGCCTGAATGCTCTCTGTCCCTCCTGCCCATGCCAGATGCTGCCCACATCCTCCATCTACTTCATTTCATCTCCTCCCCTGACCCATTCTCTGCAAGCAGAGACAAATCCTGTCCACCTCCCACCTCCTGCAGCACCATGGCTGTGCTTTCCTCACTTTCCCCGAACATAGGTGTCTGAGTCGCCCTCTCAGCTCACACCATGGATAGCAAACTCTTGGAAGAGTCTCATCGAAGGGGTCCCTGTATTCTTTTGATTCTCCTAGTCCAGAGCCTAGCTCAGAACCAGCAGGTGCTAATGGGGCCTTTCCTCCAGCTGCCTCATGCGCTCATGCTCTCCTTCCCTGCAGGAAAAGCGTATGTCAAAAGCCACAGAAGTGATGATGCAGTATGTGGAGAATCTGAAGAGGACGTATGAGAAGGACCATGCAGAGCTCATGGAGTTTAAAAAACTTGCAAATCAGAATTCAAGCCGCAGCTGTGGCCCCTCTGGTAAGGACCTAGTTCCTTCCTCCATCCTGGCCCTACAATGTGGACCCCAATAGCTCTTGGACAGGATCAGTGCTATCAGGACAAACCCAGGACTTGTTTCCAGTTGAGCAAGACTCCCTGCCCAGTGCTGCCCACAGGCGCCCTGCAGCAGCTGCTGCAGTGGGTGTGGTGGTCTAGAACTAGGAAACGTGAGCAACCCCAAAGTGATTCCTAACTCCCGACACAGTGAACCAGAGTGACTGACCGTGGACACAAAGCCAGGCTGTGAGGGCTCACTCTATTCTGTGAGAGTGACCCCAGACCCTGTAAGTCTTTGTGCGTTGGGACCCCCTTTTAGGCAGCACGTGCTAAGGAATTTGGGCTTTATTCTGGAAAGCACTAGGGATCCAACCAAGGATTGTACTCAAGAAAATGACCTGATCATATATATATAGTTTAAGGAGGTTCCCTCTAACTGTGGTGTGGCAATTACATTACTGGGGCAAACCAGAGAGAGGGAACCCCATGAGGATGTCCCAGCAACAGTCCAGGTGCGGATGAAATCTGGGTATTAGGGATGCAGTGAGAGTCTGGCTGAAGGAGATACTGCTGAGATAGACTCGTGGGTAAGACAAATGTTTTAAAGAAATACGCTTTTATATACATTCTACACAAATTGCTATAGGAGCACAGAGGAGGGGCCAGCTGTCAAAGAAGGTGTCACAGAGGGATGGCATTTGGTCAGTGTTTTAAAGTAAAAATAGGAGTTCTCTAGTCAAGAGGGGGAACTACATCCCAGGTAGAGGAAACAGCATAGACAGACGTGTGGAGGTTGGGGGTGAGAAGAAAATGAAACAAACAGTTTGTGCTTGCAGTGTTGGGGCGTGGCAGTGACAGGCTGAAGGTGAGACCTGGTAGACCAGGGCCACATGCCAGGCCATGCTAACAATTCAGCCCTCTAGGCAATGGGAAGTCATTGGTAAGTTTATGACACATGATGCAATCAGATTTTATTTTTAGATTACACTGACTTCAGTGGATGATGTATTACAGGTGTGCAAAAGATGAAGTAAAGAGAGATGAGTTAGGAGGCTGTTGCTCAGTCCAGGAGGGAGATGATGGTGCCTTGGACCACATCTCTCCTTGGACACAGCCAGGGTTTGGGCTCTGGCTGATGAGGGTGGCTCACAGGAGAAAACAGACCTTTTAGCAACAGGAATCCCTGCGGAATGCAAACATCCGTGTTAACAAGAGCAGGAGGAGGGAAAGTACAGAAAGTATAACAGATGGAGAAACCTTTATAAACAGGAGGTTTCACAAGTTTCCTGGGGAATATCAGTGACACTTCCCAGAGTCGAAAGGCAGTGTACACATGCTCCAGACTGTCTGCGTTGGATCTTGGCAGCAAGGCTCCTGACCCACCGGCATCTGGGCCTCTGACAAACTGTCCTCTGTCAGTGCTGGAAGTTGGGGATGTTGCTGCAAAGAAATCCTAATGCATGGGCTCTCACGTTATTGCCCTGCAAGGTTCAAGGTCTCCTGCAAACCACCGTACCCAAGATTTATGGGATGAGCAGTTACCCATGAGTCTCATTCATTCATTCTGCAGACATTTATTGAGCCCCTTTGGTGTGCCCCGTATGATATTGGAATACATAGGTAAAGGGCACACAGTCCCAGACCCCAAAGGAGCTCTCAGCTCGTGTGGTGGTTGGGGCGGTGTGGCCAGTGCTGTGACAGAAATACGCAATCTTTCAACTGGAGCATGCTTCAGAGTCCCACGTTCGGTCTGGGGAGTAAGAAAATGCTTACAACAGGAAAGGTCACCGTGGCTAAGTCTTACATGATGAATAAATGAATAAATGTTTTTTGGATATTTGCGCCCACTCCAGTTGTTTTTCCAAGCTGTACCTCAGCTCGGGCTGGTGCAGAGGGGCCAGCACCCCCTCAGCAGGTGTGTCTATGAGATATACTATGACCATTCTCTAATAGTGTTGGTGTCCTGAGCCTTTACGTGACTCCTGGCAATCTCTGTCGATGCCAGAGACTTTGAAGACTACAGTGAAATAAAATATCCGTGATTTCACGAAAGGTGATGCACTTAAAAAAAAATCTATCACTTTTTTCCTGAGTACGAAACATACCAGTTGTCTTCATTTTGGATTATTTTATTCAGATATATTTCTAGAAGTATAAATACTAGCTCAGGGGAAAGAAATATTTATAAGGCTTTTAAATTATTTTCCAATAACTCATGGATGTTTCCACTTAATGGGTTACAATAATGTCAAACTCATTGTGCAAGTGACACCATTCTTCTTTTTAAAAATATACATGAGTTTGGTAGGCCAAAATTTTGTCTTATTTCGTACTTTTAATTTGTATTTCTTGGCCTTCCCAAATGTTTGTTGAACGTTTGTATTTCTACTTTTGTAAAATCTTTAATTATGACTGTTGCTCACTTGTGTGATTGGTATTTTATTAATTTATGTAAACTATATATAAAGAATATTTTCTGGTCCTGGTATTTTGGCTGACTGGAAAACTTGAAAATTCTTTGACCACAAATACTTAGAAACTTCTGCTGGACAAAATAAAGCAAACATTAGTCTAAAAGAACAGCTGAATCCACAAGAAAAGAAATTGAAATACCCAGATACTAGAAAAGAAAAGAGAACTGAAACCAAGCTGACCCTGCAGCTTCCTTGGGGACAAGCGTCAGCCTCAGTTACCTGGGGCCTGAGCTTTTGCACTTGCATGTGATCTGAGACAAGGCCTCCAACATCCATAGCAGAGTTGACATTGAGACTCCCGCAGAAAGTTAAGACCTTCCAGGGACTGTCCCTTCAGATAGAATTTGGACAAGGAAAAAAAACAATCACCAACCAGCGGAGAAACAAACAAGGAAGTTTGTCTGCTTCACCCTGGGCTCTAGTAGGAAAAAACACTTTTTCCTTCCTCATAGGAAAAGTACATGCCTAAAGGGACAGCAGCGATGATGCAATTTGTGGAAAATCTGAAAAGAACAGCAAGATGGTGCCTCTAAGAACAAACAGCCACCCTGAAGAGAGACACGCCCTGCACCCAGGACACACAGGGTTCCTCCAAGAAAGCCTCTCTGAAGATGAGTTCACAATATAAAATTATAAAATACACAGAAAAACAATTCATTAGTGAAATGGTCAGACACATTAAACAATAGGGTTATATCCTAAAAACCTCAGATAATAAAATCTGATATTTTTTCAAAGATCTGTTTAAAATTATTAGAGGCACAAAAGAATGGATCAAAAACATGAGAGTAAAAGAATATAGTTATCAAAAAAGAATAAAATATAACTCCTTGAAATGAACAATAGAGTCATGGAAATTAAAAACTCAATGGTTGAGGTGTGGTAGTTACTATAGTTGAAGCTATTCTTCAATATTCCGGATCTCCTTCTGGGCACATTTCCCCATCCCCTTGAAGCACAAGGCAAGGCCATGTGACTTGTTTTGGTGAATGAAATGTGAGTAGGAGAACATGGGTTACATCTGAGCTGAAGCCTTTAAGAGCTAGTGTGCAATTTATCCTGTTTCCTCTTCCTAACATGACAACCACTACTGCTCCAGAACACTAGAAATTCCATTAACCTGAGTCCTGAGTCCTGAGTGAGGAAATGCAGAGCAGAGCCTGCTGCCAGCTCAGAAGTAAATGGAAGGCCTGACTTCAGCATGATAAAATTCATCCATGTAACAAAAAATACTTGTACCCCCTAAAAAGTAAATTAACATGTAATATAAGCAAGAAATCTTTGTTGGTATAAGCCACTAATACCTTGGGGTTGTATATTATTGTAGCATAACCTAGGTTATCCTGATTGATACAACATTTAAATCAGATTAGGCAGAGTTGAAGAAAAAGTTAGTTAACTAGAAGATAGATTTGAGGAAGTTACCCAAAATGCAGTTCATCAGATAAGTTGATTAAAATATGAAAGAAGCATTATGAGATATGGGATATAGTGTATAGAATGAGAAAGTCCCAAATACATCTAGGGGTCCTTAAGGAGGTAGAGGAGAGAAAGTATACAAAGAAAGAATGGCTGAGGATTTTTCAGAACTCAAGAAATCCCTGAATTTTTGGATTCAGAAAATATAATGAATTCCAAGCAGAAGGAATAAAAACACATCACTGAGAAACTACAGAACAGCAAAGACAAAGTGAAGATCTTAAAAGTAACCAGAGAGAGAAGATTATTTACAAAGGAATGACAAGTCTCACTAATACAGCGTATCCCAAAAGTTGCCATATGTAGGGAAAATGGAAAATTGTAGCTAAATGTATCTTTATTTAGAAAATATTCATTACAAAATTTTTCCTTTGTACGGAGACTTTTGGGACACCCTGTAGTACCAGAAGACAATGGAGTTAGCTCTTCAAAGAGCTGAGAGAAAATAACTGTCAACCTAGAGATTGTACAAACAGCTAAACAGCCATGCAAGCTTGAGGGTTGGGTAAAGACATCTGGAGGCAACTGAGAAAGTTTAGCTCTCAGAGACCCTTGCTGAAAGAACAACTAAAGGATGTACCTAAGGAAGAATGAAATTGAGCTCAAAAGAAAGGATTTAGGATGCAAGAAGGAATGGTGATCAAAGACATTTGTAACTATGTGAGTAAATCTAAACAAGCATTCCTTGTAGAAAATAGCAATCATAATTTGTGAATATAAAAAACAAGGTGAAATAAAAATACTGAAAAACAATATAATTAAGATTGGAAGGGATTATGGTTTTAAGGTTTATTTTGGAAAAGAATAGAGATCTTGATTAATTTTAAATTTAAAGTCAGTATGTTAAGGGGACACACTAAAGATTACAAATAGAATATATAATTTCCAAACCAACGTGGGGTGGGAGAAGGGGTAGAAAAAAATCATCAAATAAAGCCAAGTGAATAGAAAATATAAGATGGTGGAAATAAATACAAATATATTAGTAATCATAAAATATGTAACTAGTCTAAAACTGTTGGTTAATAGAGAACCTCAGATTAGATTATGAAAAAAAAAATACAGCTATGTGCTTTTTAAGAGACACACCAGAAATGTACAGATAGATACGAAGGAGAGACAGATATACAGGCTGGATAATGTTGATCAAACTGAATTTAGCTTGCAAATATAGTCCTCTGCATGTACTCAGATGTTTCCTGGTGGCAACATTATCCAGGTGTGATGCTAAACATACTACATGTATTAAACCATTTAATGTTTGTAATAAGGAGAAGAAACTCCTGGGGTGGTGGCTTCCCTCATCCTGAATCATTATGTAGGTGACACTGAGATTACGTCTGTCAGCAAGTTTTCTTTCTTTATTGGCACCACCCTTCCTTGCTCATAGTTTCTCTGACCGTACCTCCTTGAATGAGCATGAAATGACCCAATAAGCCTTGGTATTGCTATGAGTAGTTTTCATACACTGTCCAGGGCATTACCCAGAGATTGTGTAGTGGTGTCAGATGAAGATCTGAGGTCCAAGACTGGGGCTGCTTATGGTGCCCAGTAGAGGCAGGATAAACGTTTTGTCTAAAAGAGCCCCCACATTGCACGTGACCACCTCAGAGGGTGAAGTGCCAATCTCAGTGTCCCCAACACCCAGACCCACGGGCCATTCTTGTTGGCCAGTTCTGGCCCATAGATAACTGTGGCTTAGTTTCTGCCTGCCTGTTTCCTGCTGGAGCGTAGTCTGAAACTTACCCGAGTTCTCTTCTCTGTTTCCTCCTACTGCAGAAGACGGGGTCCCTCGCACGGCACGGTCCATGTCCCTCACACTGGGAAAGGTATGCATCCCAGGGCTCCCAGAGGAGTATGACGTTTTCATGGTCATCCAAGCAGTTATTCATTCTTGGATCCCTGGGTGCCAGAGAATGTCTGAACGGGGTTTCCCTCCAGCTTACCACACTCACTAGCTCAGCCTCTGACATCTTTCTTTTCTTGCACACAGTTTCCCTGACTATGCATCCCTTAAATGAATATGAAATGATCCTAAGCCTGGTATTGCCACAGGCAGTTTTTATACATTAAGGTGTTACCCAAAGACTGGGGGGAGTGGGGAGAAGTGATTTCCATTCTGTATCCCCAAGATCTCATAAGCTAAAATAGGAACACGTTGAAAGGTCACTCACCACCAACCAGAAAATTTGGGTAAACTTTGGCCACTTTCTCCACACCAATTCCCAGCACTGTCTCTACCATAAAACCAAAATATCCAGTGAACGTCATAACAGCGTTAGAAACTAGTAGGCTTTTTCCAAGCATTTCTGAACTATGGATATTGCTACCGCCAAGACAGGAGGGCTGGTCACTTCTCTTCCCACAGAATATGCCCCGCCGGAGGGTCAGTGTTGCTGTGGTTCCCAAGTTTAATGCCCTGAACCTACCTGGCCAAACTCCCAGCTCATCACCCATCCCCTCCTTACCAGCCTTGGTGAGTATGAAGATACCTGCCTCCCAGCACTGTTCTTCCTTCCCCTCATGCTCGCTACCATGGGGTGACCAAACGGGTACAAGGTCAACAAGGAGAGGAAATTCTGTGTGATAGGCTCAGAAAGCTCAGTATAGACCAAGCCACACGTATTCCACTGTCCTGAGAAGTCTCAGTGCCCTTGAACACGGTGTTGGCAGCTCAGAGAGTGTTCCTTGAAAATGGTAACTCTTCATGCTTAAACCACAATCCTCCAACGTGGTCATAATTTTTTTTCTTCTGTGCAGTGGGTTTAAGTAGCTGAAGTTTGTAAAGTGCAGTAAGTGGTCGAGCTAAGCTTTGAACCCTAGGTTCTCTGATTCCAGAACCCGAGTTCTTAAACCCATTCTCATCCCACCTGGGTTCATTGTAGCATTGTTTATGACAATGGAAAACTGGAAACAACCCAATGTCCTCTAATAAGAGATTGGTTAAACAAATTATGGATATCACTATAAGGAGTTTCTATAGAATAGAATTATTATCCATAATTTATTGTGAATAAAAGATAATTAAAATGGTATATACAAAAACTAGTATATAAACAGTATAATTCTGTTTTGTGCTTTAAAAAAAGTATGTTTCTATGTGTAGGCATAGAAAATTCTTGATGAAAATATGTGAAACTATTTATAATGGTTATCTCTGGGTAATGGTAAAGAAAATAATGGCTATTTTCTTCCTGATGCTTTTTTGTATTTCCATAATACGAATGTATTAGTAATAATCAGAGAAAAAAATATGTTTCAATTTTTTTAAAACAAAGACAGTTCCTATATATTTTCAACATTCCAGGCCTTTGTGCATCTGGTTAATTCTATCTAAAACTTTCCTGACTCTTTCTCCAGTGGTTTCTCTGCTCCCCGTCTATGACCAGCACTACCCCATAAGGAAACATTTGATTGCATAAGCAATTGGTAAGGTAGATTCAAGCTCTGTTGTTGCATCAATAGGTAGCACTCACCTCTTTCTGCCTCAAGTATTTCAATCATGTATGAAATCAACCTAAATTCCCAAAGTACCCACTAAAACAAAGCAACCTAAAAAAAAATTGTTTTAAGGAGGTTGGAAAGGGCTGGTCAGTGTGTTTTAACGGGCCTATTTCCCATACTTTACCTAAATGCATAAATGTTTCCAAATACATATTCCTTTAGACCAGGGGCTAGCAACCAGAGTGATACGTTAAAATCATGCAGGGTGGATCAGGACTTCTTAAAAATCTCCCTCAAGTGACTCAAATGTGCAGCCAAAATTAAGAGCCATTGCCTACACCAAAACCATTGTCACCAAAAATGTGGAAATCCTGGGGAATTTATTATGAAGAAATTTCTGATGTCTTGAGCTTTTAGTAACGGCAGGCATTTCCTGAGAATTATTCTTGGAGCTGTGGGTCTAGGGGCATGATGGGCTCCTGTGGCTCTATCCCAGGAAGCTTGGGATAGGGATATATGTGGCAGGAGGCCTGCTGGTGTTCTATCGCAGTCGGTAACGGGGCAGAGGAAAACTTATGGCTCCCTTCCAGAATGGAGCCTCGAGATGTGAACTGCTCTCTTGGCTCCAGGAGACTTAGGAGAGGAGAAGGAAAAGGAGCAAGTTGCCTGTGCCCCAGAGGGAAGGAGCACCGAAAAAAGGAGGACAGGGAGGGCCCCAGGGCAAAGGCCGAGGCCTGGGCCCAGAGGCAGATTGGAAAGCACGGGGGAGGGAGGAGGTGAAGAGGAGGAGCTGCACCCCTCCCCATATCATCCAAGACCCAGGGGCTCTGACTTCTTCCTCCCATAGCTTATCCTCAATTCTGTCTTGTTTTCCATTCAGTCGGAATCACCCAATGGGAAAGGCAACCTACCTGTTGCTTCAGCACTGCCTGCACTTTTGGAAAAGTAAGTTTATCCATTTTCCTCTTACCTTTGGGAATGTCTAAGGAAAATTTCCCCAATTCATCTTCCTTCCTCCATCCTCACCCACAAAATGTAATAGAAAGCGAATTAAGTCCTAGGGAAAATGAGTGGGACTCTGAGCCCCACAGATACTTCAGACCCAGTTTGCAAAATTCTGGGACCAGGAAGATACTATGGCTGACGTCTCATGTACCCAATCTAAGAAGAGCCCAGAGGAGACAGAAGCCTTCTCTGTTGGTTGGGATTCTTTGGGCTACATATATAAGAACTCCCTAACTCAACGGAGCTTAAATAATAAGTCCAGAGGTGGGGCTGCCCCAGGCATGGCACAGGAGGGCTCTGGCTCAGCCTCTGTAGAGTCCCCTCACCTCTGGTCACTTTGTATGTTGACTTCATCATTAGGCTTTGGCAATGGCTGCTGTTCCAGGTATCCTCTCAAAACAGGAAAATATCTAGAGGAAGAAAGGGACCATTTCTTTCCATATTTCTTTCTTAGGAATGAACCTAGAGACCTTTCACTGGTCTCTCTGATCTCATTGGCAAATCTGGAACGTGGTCCCTTTGTAGACAGGCTTTGGGAATGGGATTGTCGTTATGGGCTTAAGCTATCCCATGAAATTGAGAAGACGGTCAGCTTTCTATGAAGCAAAATGACTCCGTAAAGAAGAGTAAATTCCTGAACAAAATCATGTTGCTATTAGGAACTAGGAAGGAACATAAGTATTGGATTTGCAGCCAACGGCGTCTGCTACGCCTAACTTTTCTAGGCATCTATGCAATTTGAAGGTCTTTTCATCCTCAGCCAGAGCAAGGCAGGCTGTTTCTGTGCACTCAGGGGAGTTTATAACTCACTTTTCAAATTCCGTCATTTGCTTGCTGGAAAACATCTGGATCACAGCTGCCACCCCTCAGAACTTTCCACTTGTGTCTTTCCTCACTTGGTAGAACATATACCTTATTCCTCCTCCTCCTCCTCCTCTGCCTTGAAACAGCTTCAGTCCTTCATCTTTCATTGCTGCTAGAAAAGTTTTGCTGCACCTGGAAGGGAACGTGTGTGTTGGGCCCTTTTTAGTATAGACAAGCTCCCAAACTCCCCATCTCCAGACTCAGCCTGTTTTCCTCACCTTTCATTGTGCAACCACCAACTTATCACTCAGGATCTGTCCCATGTTAGTCTTGAAGTTTGCCCAGCATTTCCTCCCTTTGCCACCTCATCCCCCATAAGCTTACAGATCCTTCATATCATGAAGGGTTGGGCACTTGTACTCCCTCCCCCCATCAATGCAGGGAGATTGTAAAGAGGTGACAAATTAACAACCATGTGGGACTAACCAAGGTTGCAGAATCTTACTAAGTCCTTAGAGTCACAGTGCCTAGACCGTGATCTTTGATGCTCTCCAGAAATCGTCACTTGGTGCTCTGAGAAGCTCACTAAAATTCTCCCTGCCAACCTTCCCTTTGGGTGCACCATTCCCTACTTCAGAGGACCCCCAACAAGACCCCATTCCTAACTCCAGGCCTACAGAGCCATTCAAAGCAGAGGGTCTATGTTCCTACTCTTTCCAACAGACTCTAATCATGACAGAACAGGGACTGAGCTCTGTAGAACTAGTGCCAGGCCAGCGGAGAACTTCTGTCCAAGACAGTGAGGTCATCAAGAACATGACCTAGCCTTGGTAGGAGAAACTGAGGCACAAAGTTGGGGATAGCAGGCAGAAGCCCAGAATCTGGAATGTCAAGAAGTGAGGATCAATGGTGGTATCATCTTGCCAAGAGTCTAGAACCTGGAGATATAGGGATAGAGTGAGGATCAAGGCAATACAAGCAAGAGGTTCCCAGGAAGGTGTCTGCAGCTGTCCTGTAGGGGTGACCTGGAGCCTGCCATTGCCGTGCTGTGGCTAATTCACTGTTGGAAACGTACCGTGTGAGACAGGCTGCAAAGAGGGGAGAAAGTAACCAAAAGAGTAAGGATTCAGGATGAACCACAGCCTCTCTCTGATTTCTAAAAGATACTAAGTGATTTCTATCTGAATTTATGAAACTGGAGACATTTAGTAGATTCCTCAAAGACTAACATTATGAGCTAATTTAGGAGTAAAAATGAATTCATGTCTTCTGTTCTATACACAAATACAATCAATTCTAGCTGCCCTATCCATATTGCTAAAGAGAAATAATGTTATAATTTTTTAAATTTTTTTTTATTATTTAAAATTTTTTAAATTTTGTAGAGATGGGGTCTCACTATTGCCCAGGCTGGTCTCAAACTCCTGGGCTCAAGCAATCCTCCCACCTTGGCCTCCCAAAATCCTAGGATTACAGGCGTGAGCCATGGCTCCCAGCCATGATGTGTTATAATTTAATATACAGTACTTTCCAGATTGCTATATTCAGTTTCACATCAAAATGATTTTACATTTCCTAAGCACACAGTGACTAAGCAGGAAGGAGATTGGCTAAGCACAGGATGAGAAGATCAAATAGCCTGTGGCTAGTTCACAAGCAAATACTTATCTGACTGCACCACCCAATGTGTTTCAAGAGAATTCTGAGTCTTGCTGTTGTAGGTCATTTCATAATGAACTTATCTTCACTCAACAGGGTCTAGGAACCTGTAGACTTAAAGAAACATACCAGTGGAGAGTGATACTTAAAGTTAGTCTTAAAGATTAAAACAGAACAAAGCTCATGAGCAGTTCTACAAATAGGAAGAGCTATATATTTGCAGTCTTTCATTCTTTCATTCCTTCAATAATTAATCACCAGGGGCCAGGGACATAGAATGTACTCAAGGAACTCACTATCTCGTGGGAAACAGCCCATTATGCTACAACATGATGGGTGATATCTTAAGGAAGCACAGGTTGCTAAGGAAACAACACGCAAGAGAATGAGCATCTAACTCAGTTTTGGAATAGGGTAGGGGGAAGAGGAGGCTAAGAAATTGTTTCCCCCAGGAACCTACTTTTAATATAGGTTATATAACCCTGAAGGTTATATAATTAGCCAGGCAAACAGGAGGTTAGCAACATTGTAGGCTCTTAGGCAACAAAACATGGAGTATGCAAGGAATGGGGACGGTGATGATGAGAATGATAATCATGATAATTACTATTATTATTTACTGCACACTCACTGCCAAGTAAAGCACTGCCAAGTGCTTTAGTAATTGCTTCACATTAAGAATCTCATTGAGTCCTCACAATCATCCCATGAAGTAGGTATATTACTAATATCCCTGTTTTATAGATGAGGAAACTGAAGCTCAGAGAAATTGTCACTTGCCTGAGGTGTTACACAGCTAGTAAGTAGATAGCAGAGCTCATGCTCTTAACCTTTAAATAGACCCTCCAACTGGAAGAACAGAAATAAGTTCAGTGTGGCTGCAGAGAAGAGGATGGATTTAGGAACTAGTTTCCCAAGAGCCTGGTGACTGGCACGGAGTGGCGTGGGAGATGGGGTGTGGGTGGAACGGTTCACTGAGCGGGATCACAGCAGAGCCAGGATGTGGACGGTGCACAGGGTAAGTTTCATTAAAGGGGCCATTATACTGATGTATCACAGGGAAATTTTAACTATAATCTCTAAAATAACCACTTTCTACACTTTTGAAGTAGCCAGGGTAAATTGCTTAAAGGTTTTATATGACGTTACATTTGCACAGTAAGCAACTCCCCTTTGCTGATAGTACTCTGGAGTGAATTATCGCTGAGGAAACTCTTAGTGGACACCAGGTATCTGCGTAACAGGGAGTAAGGAAGGTCTTCTAGCTCGGGTTCCCTGGGCTGGGCTTGTCAAAGGGAGCCGTGGCAGTGGGGGTGACAGAAACATTGCTGAGCCCAAGAAGGTAAGATATGGCCACTGGGAAGGATGGTAGTCACTTTCAAATATTGTCTGCCATGTGGGAAAAATTGAATCTAATTCACCTTGACTACACAGCCCTGCACATTACAGAGAGCCAAGCACAATGACAAATATTTTTGACCTGGCGGACGTGTGAGAACAATGAGCCTCATTTTAATAAATTAGCTCAGAAAGAAAGCATATAGGGTTTCAGGATGGGGACAGATGCCAAGATCTGTGAGCATTTGGCCTGAAAGTCCCTGGGGTGGCACAGGCTGTGCTCAGCTCCAGTGTACAGCCATGAATAGAGATTCCTTTAGCCCAACCCAAACACTGGGTTCTCAGGAAGAGCTTTTACAGGGAGGACCTGCCCATTTTACAAGATTCATAAGCAGGGACTGGCTAGGTCATAGTGAAATCAGTGCAACTCACCAAACAATTAAAGGCACCTACTGTGTGCCAGGCACCATTCTGACCCAAACTCAGTCTCCCCACTGTGATCACAGTCATATGGAGGATGGGCAGGTATCTAAAACATAAAAACGCCCTCTCTGTGAGTCACGTTGTAAAGGAGGTACCATGACAGCTTAGAGGGAGGGAGAGATCAATTTTAACCAGAGGGCGTAGGAGAGGGGAGAATATCAGCAAAGGTTTTCTAGAGGAGAAAGTATTTGGGCTGAGTTGTTAAAGATGCATAGGGAGAGCTTCCAGGTAGCTGGAGAAGATATTTAGGGAACTACAAGCTCAGTCTGGAGGTCAGGAGAGAATAGCAAACATTTTTATTTCCACTTCCCGGCCTACCCCCCATATTCAACAAAGCCCCTCCCAGCCATCTCACACTCTAAACAAGTAGCCTTGAAAAGAAGACAGGTTTGTAGGCCATTGTCCAGCCTGGCTGGACAGAGGCAATGGCTTCACTTAGCAGGTGCCTTGAAACCCGGCACACCACTCAGAGCTCCAGGAAAAGACCTCTATTGAAAGATAGCATTCCAAGAGGCCCTGGAAAGAGCATCTTGACATTAGAAGACCAAGATGGGAGTCCCAGAACCAATAATGAGAATTTAGACAAGTCACTTAATCAACCTGAGCTTGGGTTTCTTATCTGTCAAGTGGGATAATGCCCCACGTGGATGGTGGATAGTGCAGCCAAAAGTATGGGTGGGTGTCAGACTACAGAGGGTCAAATTGGAGCTTACCACACCCTGGTTATTTAACCTCTCTGAGCCTTGGTTTCCTCACCTGTTCAAATTGAGAACAATGATACCTTTTTGGGTCATTTGTGAGTCTTAAGTGGGATCTTAGAACAGAGCCTGATACATAGGTTACCTTAGGCATCAGGGTAGCTCATCTTATCATAGGGAAGATCAAGCGAGAGAGGCATGCGAAAGCCTCACAGGGGAGTTGAAATGGACGGAAGATCCATACCTAAAAGAGTCTGTGAAATGAACTTCCTGGCTCTATTAGGGAAAAGTTTTAGTCTCTAGAGAGCAGTGACCCAAGAAAAGTGAAAGTTTTGTTTACGGTCACTTGGTCAGCAGAACTCTAAGGCTCGTGAGTGTGTTACGGCACACAACAGACATGCACCTGAGAAACTTACTAAAGCCACTGTATGGATATTTAATGTAATTTTACCATATTTTACACTAGTTCACATCTGGGCTTCCTCTAACTCTGAAACATCACAGTAATATATAACAAGTTCTCCCTTAAAGATATAAATAATTGCCTGGTAATTTATCAGCTTGGATTTTTTATGAATTAAGTTTGGAGGAAGCTGAGATTTCTCCCAGAATTTACCAACAAATTTACTACATAGCAATAATAGTAATAATAATAATAGGTATAATTTCTTGAGTGCTATATTCCAGAAAGTTGACATTTCTTCATTCTTACACCATGACCATCAGGTACATATTATTATACTAGCCCCATTGTACAGTTGGGGAATCTGAAGTTCAGGAAGGTTAAGTGATTTGTATGTGTTGGAGCTGGGGTTTGAATCCAGTTTGTCTTAGGCAGGTTCTTTTCCTCTATACCAGGGGCCCCCAACCTATGGTGAGATGTATAATTATTTCATTATCTATTACAATGTAATAATAGAAATAAAGTGCACAATAAACGTAATGTGCTCGAATCATCATGAAACCAACCCTTCTACCCCCTGTCCGTGGAGAAACTGTCTTCCATGAAAACGGTCCCTGGTGCCTAAAAGGTTGGGGACCACTGCTCTATACGACACTGTTCCTCCCTCATATATGTTTAACATATTAAAAAACCTCTAAGGTTGACAGCTGTGGATAAAGGTTTGATACCAACATTTTATTTTTAATATAGAAAAAGGAATTGCTTTCCTTGGCTGTAGCTGTGTTTTTCTCCTCTTGCTCCAGTCACTTGGATAAATAGGAAACTGCACATTAAGCAAGTGCACATTCTAAGGTCACATGGAAGGGAGTGGATAATGTAATTTGCAAGAGGAGAAATGTTATGAATAGCTGGTATTTTTAGAGTGTTGTCTTTCTTGCTCACAATGGATTTTGGTTCCCAGCCTGATAAAATGTAAATTTTACAAGGTCTGAGGAAAACTAAGAGCTGGGAAACTGATGCCAAGAATGAGGAGAAGCCACAAGGCTCGCTCATAAAGCCTGCGGAGAGGTCAGGGGGGTGGCAGCTGTGTTCTCTCAGAGTCCTGGCTGGAGAGCGCTGCTCACAGCTTTGCCGTGTTTGAGGGCGCCTCCACGGCAACACGACTCCGGCTGGGATTCTGGACGCCCAGGTGGGCTGCAGGATCTTTCCTTTAGCACTGGTGATCCACACCCAGGTCAGCTCCCAGCACTGCCCAGCCATCCTGCTCTGACTTCCTAGTACGTTTGTTTTCCTGCCTTCCTACACGACTTTCCTCAAACCTTCCTCGGCCCCTCAGCCTCTCCCTCTCAGCAGGTGACCCTGCCTTCCACCCCACAGAGGAAGTTTGAGCTCTCATTCAGATGGGAGCCCTCTCATCCTCCTTCACCAGACACCCAGCACACTGTTTTCATCCTCCTCTTCCCTCAGTTAAAGCAGGAGGGGTTTCTCCGCCTTTGCCAAGTCTGTCCCTACTTCTCTTTTCAAAGACTTTTTTCCTTTGGTAGCGCCTTCCTCTCATCCCCTCTGCCAGCTCATTTCTCTCCACGTTCAAGCGTGTTTCCTCCCTCGGCCCACTTGCTAAGTGTGCACTCCCTCCAACACACTCCTCTACCCGCCTTCCTGGTCAGATGACCGTGTCCCCCGTCCTTCACCAGGCCCACTCCGGCGTGGCCTTGCATCCCCCGTTCCATCTAGCACCCCTCGACCTCCACGTTATCCAATCTAATGGTCACTTCGTACCCATCCGACTCAGGCTCTCAGAAGTGTGCGGCTCAGTTACACTCTCCTTGACCTGCTCTCCTCTCCTGGCTCCCAGGACTCCACACTCTCCTGGTTTTCCTCCGACCTCTCCAGCTGCTACTTCTCAGCTTCCTCTGTAGGCCCCTTCTCTTCCACCTGAGCCAGGTGTGGAGATATTCATGGCTTGGTCCTGGGTCCTCTTCTTGTCTTTCCTCGTATTATCTCACTAGGCGATCTTACCCATTCCCCTGGCTTTAAACAGCATCTGTATTCTGATGACACCAAATTGATATCTCCAGCCTGGAGCCCTTCTCTGAGTCACTTTGGTATACCCAACTATCTGCTTGTCATCTCTCTCTTTTTTTTTTCTTTTATTTCAGCATATTATGGGGGTACAGATGTTTAGGTTACGTATGTTGCCCTTGGTCCCCCCCCTCCAAGTCCGAGTTTCAAATATGTCCATCCTTCGGGTGGTGAGCATTGCACTCCTTGTGTATACAAATACCCGTCCCCTCCTCCCTCCTCCCCGCTCCCTGCTTGTCATCTCTTGAATAGCTCACAGTCATCACAGATTTACCCTAATCCAAAAGTTAACTCCGCCACTGCCTCTTGCAGTTCCTCAAATAGTCCAGCACCTTTCGTTTCCTAGCATCTTTATACAACCTCAATCCTCTACCTGGGATGTTCTTTCCTCTGTTGTGGATTCAGCTGACTTCTCATCTTTCAGGTCTGAGCTTCGATTTCAGCTCCTCAGAGAGGCCTTTTCTGACCATTCACTCTAAACACATTCTCCCCTTTTTATTTTCTGTCACTGCACAGAATTTCTTTCTTTCATAACAGTTATCATAATTTGAAAATAATTATGTATTTTTTTCTTTTTGAGGGCTTTTTCTTCTGCTAAGCTCCAGGTTGGCAAAAACCATTTCTTTATTTTCCAGTGTGTCCCCAGCCCATTGCAGTATGCCTGTGACTTAGTCGTACTCAGTATATATTTGAAAGAGTAAGTAAGCTCCTCAGACCAAAGATGGACTGCAGGAATGGAATGATCTGGGCGCTTCCACACAGCACCTCCTGGAATAAGGCGAAAGGTGGATTTGGGAGCGCGAGAAGAAGGAGAACTGGGGCAATGTTTGGCAGTCTAGGGGAGGATTCATGGACTAGGGCCTTTATAAAATCTTGTCTCAGGGTAGAAGGATTGAAAAAAAAAATCTGAAAGCTACTGAAAGAACCTGAGTTTCCTCACTTCTAATCAGGAATCAGGCCAAAGACATGGTTTTGTTTTCAGACATTCAACCTTTTTCTGAAACGATGCCCTGTACTTCCTCTTCTCATTAGTGGAAAGACAAATGGGAACGCGGACTGTGAAGCCCCTGCACCTGCGCCAACCCTGAGCTGTCTGGAGGAGGTTAGTCAGGAGACCAAGGCCAGGATGGAGGAAGAAGCCTTCAACAAGGGGTGAGTGAGACCTTGGCCACCCTGAGGGCACTTGGCAGGTCACAGAAGATACCTCCCCACGGGCCTTTCCTGTTTCTTACAGGCTTTAGGGAAGCAACCAGTGGCCCCCGGACCTCCTCGCCTCAGGAGGGAACTGCATAGGAAAGAGCAAGACTGTTCCACCGGAAGGACAGAGGAAGCAGGGCCCAAGGGTGTGGTTAAACAATAACTAAACCACCTTCTTTTTAGGCAGAAAGCCACCAGAATGGTCTGGAAATCAGGGGCCCCTGGGTAGGTTCCTCTTGGTGGTGCTTAAGGCTTCCTGACACGTGCTCAGAGCAGTCATATTGCTGCCAACAATGCCCAGGAGCAGCTGCAACTCTGCTTCCCAAAATTGCTCTCGTCACCCCTTCCTCCTGTAAGCTGAGTCCCTTCAACTGCCAACTGTCTCCTTCTCCATTTGAGCTTTAGTAGCGCCTATGGGCAATTGTCAGCCACTGGAGACAAAGAGTCCTGAGCCAGGCCCAAGCCTCAAGGTAGAGAGTTACCTCCAACCAGGCATGGCACTCGGAGTTTCTCCTGTCCCCGCAGCTCATGAGGGAGATGCAGCTTCCCACTGACACAGAACTTGTGGGCTTCTATGTGGCAATCACACACGCAGCAGTGGGTTTGCCCCAGCCGAACGGCTGATCTTAAACACTCAGCTGTAGGACAAGTGACACAGAGTATGTTCACGGGAATATTGATCCTAGGAGAAGAAAACCAGAAAGGTTCCTCTTGGAAAGACTGTCTTTTCCCCCATAACTGTGCTCTGTCCTCAGAGTGCATGGGGGTGGACTCCTCTACTGGCTTCGTACACATTTACTGAGTACCTCTCTAGCTCAAGCTGTGTGCCCGGCATTTCCAAAAAATGTTTCAACACCCTGTGAGATGGGTGTCATCCTCTCTGTTCTACAGATGAGAAGCTGACACTCTAAGGTTACATGGAGAGCACGTGCAATCTTGTCCCTACAGAATGTTTCGTGGGATAACCCAGTCGGGAGACCCTGCACCCACATTTTTTCCCTATCAGTTTTGTCACTCTGTCACATAAACAGGAAGGATGACTGAGGAGTGAGGGGAAATTGTACTGACATGAGCTGCCTTGGGAGTCAGCGGAGCTTCCCAGCTTTTTCCTGTTGTGTGGAACCACAGGAAGTGCATGATTATTGGAGGTGCTTGGTCCTCTCCCCTAGGGACTCAGGAAAGAATCCTCCATATCTGGCCGTTTCAGACAATTGTTCCTTTTTGTCTTCCAGATACCAGGAAGGTCTAAAGAAGACCAAGGAACTCCAAGACCTGAAGGAGGAGGAGGAGGAACAGAAGAGTGAGAGTCCTGAGGAACCTGAAGAAGTAGAAGAAACTGAGGAAGAGGAAAAAGACCAGAGAAGCAGGTGGGAGGCCTGTGTTTGGAGCCCTTGCTGACATGGGTTACAATTCATTTAATTATTCAATTGCACAAAATCCCTGGAAATAGCAGTCCAGGGCAGCAGAGGGTATGAGGCCCAAGTGAGTAGCCAACAGAAACCCAGGGGGCACTCATGTTGGGGAGGAGGTAGAGGAAATAGAGGAAACCCCAAAGAGTCAAAATAGCTAAAATGGGACATTTGCAAGAGCCAAGGGGCCAGAGGTAGTCATGGAAGGGGCAGGCAGCAATCAAGAGTTCTCAGGAGCTAAGAAAGGGTGACGGACCCTGAGCAGAGTCCCTCCCAGCCCAGCCTTGGTTAGCTCATTTCCCAGCCATCCCCATGCAAGGGCCAAGCTCAAGGGAGCTGGCCTGCAGCCCTCATGGGGGTTCCTTGCAAGAACAGGGGCAGAGAGAACACGTGGATGGGGACTCAGCTCAGTGGCAAAGTTGAGTCTCCAACAGGTCCCTTCCATGCTGACTAATCAAGCTGGGCCATTCAGACAGTGTCTTCACTTTGGATACTTGCATTTCTCTTTTAAAATACTTTATATTGCAAGTGGATTTTTCCCTAAATTCATGGGGAGGATATAACACGTAGATAAAGAGAATATAGATCCTGCATCCTGTTCCACTGTGATTCCTACCTGACCTTTAGGATGCAGAATATTAGAAATAACCTCATCTAGTTCCAGGACACTCCACGCAATGAGAAATGGGAATGAGGGCTCAACACCACCAGGCCTGAATCAGCCCGTAGAAGTACAAGCTAAGGGACAGAATAAACTAGTACCCATAGAAGAGGTGTCCTCTGCCTTATAGATGCAATGACCACATCAACATCCTGGATTTTCAGGACAGCCTCAGTTTATATATTCAGCCCTGTTGTCACTATTAGTGCATCAAACTACAGGTCTTGACTTTTGATTTTTAAAAATGTAGTTATAGCAACCTTGGAGCACTTCACCAAAATCTTTGTTTTTTGACCTCTGAGCTATCTTGGGGTCCAGGGCAGCTCCAGACAAAATGATTAATTATCTAATCAGCTGCGGAACCTGGGACAGGGGATGTGTCTGTGCCTCATTGCTGGCAAACTCTGGAAGCCACATGCATGCAACAAATAACATAACAAAGTGGAGATCAGGAGCAAGATGGATGGGCTTCAATGTATGGAGGTGCTACCAAGAGAGCCCAGTTGGTAGAAGGTTCAACTGAAGTGAGAGGTCTCAGCCTGCATCAGGAGCTGTCAGGACAGCTGGGGAAAATGCTTCACCATTGGAAACAAACCTGTGCTATTATATACCACCTCCCCAGTGAAAGAACCTCCAAGTTTAACAATGAAAGCATAATCTCTGCTCCAAACAGCTGGACCCTGTTCTCCTTAGGTCTCACTTCCCTCTTGGGGGTCCTCTGCTTTTGTTTCTCAGACCACCACATTGCCTTTCTCACCTTTAATGCAGTCAAACCCAGGCCTGGACAAAAGCCCACCCTTTGGCACCCCTGAATACAGCTAAGACAGACTGGAACTTCTAGCACTTCCAAACACTGAGAAAGAACAAAGGAGAAATAAACAGAGCGAGTACATGGAACATAAACAGTCTGATTTACAAAGCGCAAAGTCTTATCTAGCTAAGTTGATCACAGGCAATTGGAAGTTCCCTCCCACTTTTGTGAAACCCCAGGGGAAATTGGGCTTTGCCTGGGTCCCTTTCTGTCCAGCTCCTGGTCAGCAGCGCATGACAATGGCTGCCTATAGCCTCTGTCACCCGCGAGAGCCCTCGGTCTGTCTCCCAATCTTTGCTTTCTCTTGGATTTACTTTTTGGTGTTGAGAACATGTCTGTACCTCAGGTGATGGATACAGGGCCTGAGCACGGCTCGCAGAAGGGTCCTCAGCTTTCAGCACAGGGGTGTAGCTTCACCTTTTCAGGCCCAGTAGCTTCATAGTCTCCTTCAGGACTGACATTGCTATTATATAAACTGCCCACTCATGGCCTTAGGAACCCTTCCTCACCTGCAACCCAAGCCAAACTGGCCCCAAGAGCTGTTGTCTTCAATGCCAGGCAATCCTCACCAACACCTGGATCCTTTAGACACACCGTTGCCTGCAGGCACCTGCACTCAAGTATGATTCCCGCGTGAACCGTTGGCACCTCAATAGCAAACAAGGTCTGAAGTTACTAAAAGTGCCATGTCCTACTTAGTGCATTTTAAAAACACTGGGCTAAGCCCGGCAGCTGACCAATTATACAAGAGATTTAATGTCAAACACTGAAGTCTTTTTGTCTGAAATTTTCTCTATTATATATAATAATTTTATAAATATTACTCTCTGAAGGATAAGCTTAAATGAACTTTGGGTGAATTAACCCAATATTTTAACCATATTAAACAGAGAGTGCACTCTTCTGACATTGATGCAATACATTGACCAAATAGCACTCAAAAGGTGCAACAGAAATTTTTTCTTCCATTGCCTGTTCAAACCTACTCTGTGGGGTTAAGACAATATTTAGACAGGTCCTTTACTTTCCCAATAACTCTCAGAAAACAGACGTTTACTTGTAACAACCAAAAATTGACATCCAAAGGATATCTATTTCCATTTCTAACCTCTTTCTTAGGCCAGCCATGGGTGATCAGCTAGGGTTACAAAGGTAGGTCTTGACCTCCACCCGTGGAGCCCCACTTGAGTGGGTTTAGAGTGGGATCCTCCCCACTCTGGCAGCTTGTTTCAGAGCATGGGAATAGAGCCCAAAAGAGAGGCTCCATTTTAGTATCCAATTATATCTAACTGGAATCTACAGAATCTAAATAGAGCTGAAAGAAGATGTGCTTCCATCTCCAAGCCCTCCCTTCTCAACAGTTGTAAAAATAGCCAATGATTTCCACATCAGCTAATGCATTCATTTTCTTGCTTTGCTTAATTTTGCCTGAAATGATCTGATGGGGTTCCTACAGGGAAAAGAAACCATGATGTTCCCTGTGACTTCATCATCCGAGGCAGGCACTCTGAGCATCCAATCCCTTTCTAAGGAGGGTGCTTGTTGAATTTTTCAATCCATCGCAAGCCATCCCTTTTCTACTAGCTCTGACGTAGAGCTCTCTGCTTCCCAGCAAATGGCCTGTGTATCGCAGTGTCTATGTGAGCTGCAGGATCTTCAGAAAGCCCCCTGTCACTTTCCCCACCTCCTTGGTTTGGCAATCCTCAGTATTCTTGGTTTTATTTATTTTTTCCTTTTTTTAAAAAAATATTGATCTGGAATTAAAACAGGAGGAAATTCTTACACAGGAAGAAAGCTTAGTGAAGGTGTCCAGGGCTTCCCCAGACTCTTCAAAGCAGGCTGCCTGACTAGATGTCTTTCACTGTGCCATGGAGAGAAAGGACAAGTTGAAAGGCAGTTGGGAAGGAAGCAAGAGGGAAAAGGGGCAAAAATGGAGAGGGAGAAAAGTAAAAAGGAGAGAGAGATGGAAGGGAAGGAGGGAAGAGAGAAAGAGAATGAAGGAAGGAAAGAGTGAAGAGGAGGGAGCAATTAGAGAACAAGTATCAGTGAGGTTGAGAAAGCATCTTGAATAAGCCACCTAGAGGTTGCTGGAGGCTACTAGTCATCTGGTTGTCTTTGGGGTGGTTTGAAGTGAGCTCTTCAGGTTGAACTGATCCTTTGTTATTAATCACTGCACACCAAGATTCTGAGGGTTTAGCACAGTTCTTCTCCAACACAGATGTGGGACTGAGAATGATTACATGCATTTGAACACTGAGGCAGGGGGCAGGTCAGTACTTGGAACTGATCACTAATGCAGCTAAGTGCTGAAAAGAAGCATGGGAGTATAGATCAGCCAACCTTGTACCCTGGGGCTTGGGAGAATACAGATATCAGTCATAATACTGCAAATAGAGTAGGGCATGTGTGGATGGATGAACAACCAAACAAGTAAACAGAGTTATCTAGACTAAGTAGCTCCCAACTTCAAGGCTATCAAAGTCACCTGGGAAAACTTAACAATTCCTAGACCATAACTTTGGAGATTCTTATTTATAATGTTGGGGTATCTTGAATGATTGCTGCCAAGTGATTCTCTGCACAGCACAGACAGTATTCCCAGAGAAAGAGCTATGGGTCTGGGCATCGCATATGTGCCCAGTATACTAAACTCTCCACCTATTTTTCTCATTGACAGCAAACTTGAAGAATTGGTCCATTTCTTACACGTCCTGTATCCCAAACTGTGTCAGCACTGGCAAGTGATCTGGGTGATGGCTGCAGTGATGCTGGTCTTGACTGTTGTGCTGGGGCTCTACAATTCCTATAACTCTTGTGTGGAGCAGGCTGATGGGCCCCTTGGAAGATCCACTTGCTCAGCAGCCCAGAGGGACTCCTGGTGGAGCTCAGGACTCCAGCATGAGCAGCCTGCGGAGCAGTAGGAAGCCTGATACCTGGCCAATGTCCTACTCTGACATGTTCAGCCTGCCACTCCTTCCCCAGGTGTGGACACGTCGGTGCCTGTCCCATCAGGAATGAGGAGTTCTTTTCACTTCTGTGGGAGCTATTCATACACAGTGACTTGATGTTCTTGGAGGATCAACAAAACTGCCTGGGAAAGCATCGAGTGGACAAAGAAGTCACCTTCACCAGGAACTCTAACTGAAGGGAAGGTCTCCTGCCTCTAACTCAGATGGCTAGGAAGAACTAAAATACCTTCACTGGGGGAGGGGGGCAATAAGAGGCTCGCTCTCTCCTTTTTTCTCTCTGAAATTGGTTATCAGGAAGAACTATGCATAATAACTAATACTGACCCTAAGGATCAGACCTGGAATTTGGAGTTGCAACATGAATATCTTCCCATTTCCTGTCTCATTTTCAATGACTAGCATTCAACCTCCCCTTCTCCCTGTTGGAATCAGAGTTTCTTTTTGCATAAGCGGGAAAGGTTTCTCAGAAAAAAACGTGTAGGCTGAATTTAGCTCAGTGCTTGAGATGAAATGGGAAGATGTGAATTACTATGTATGCATCTGTACACACACAACACACACATACACACACATACACACATGTGCACTAAGCCAACGACCCTCCAAAAGTGTGCTGTGGGTGTGTGCTCTGGATAAATAAGATGCATGTCAAGCCAACCCACAGACTTTCACTGGGTGTGGGGCAGTCACCAGGCACCTATTTAATGAGCTCTCCACGTAGATTGAAGATGTTTGAAAAACACTGAAAACTCATGCTTCAATGGCAAACTTGTTTCTATTTCAAATGCCTATTCTAAGCTGCTGTACAGCACAGTCTGTTTCCTATTTGTTTTATCCCTTCGAAAGCAGTTAAACCACCTCTCAGGTGAACAAAGAGGAAAAGTGTGCTTTCAGCGTAGTCTGTACTCCGTGTGCGTGCCCACAGGCAAGGGTACAGTTGCACCTTAGTGCTTCAGTTGGAGGGAGATTTCCAACCCAACTGTAAGCTTCAGAGCATTCCCAATTGTTTAGCATAAAACTGAAAGAGCATTTCCAATCTCCAATTTGACTTCTCTCCCCACTAAACAGCCACTGTCTTCATTCAGCCCTCATTCAGCTTCGGGGGTGTTGGTTTCCATGTGGGTTTTGTTGTTTTGCTTTTGTTTTTTTGTTTTGTTTCATTATTGATATTGTTTGCTTGTTGCTGACATTCCTATAGAACTTACTTTGAGCCAAGCACTGTTCTCAGTATTCTATAGGTATCAATTCATTTAGTCCTCAAGAAAAAGAAAAAAAAACTATGAGGTGGGTACTACTCTTCCCATTTTCAGATGAGAAAACTGAAGCACAAACAGTGCAAGTAACTTGCTAAGGACACCCCACTAGTAAATCACGGAGCTGGAACTCAAACCTAGGTAGGCTGGCTCCAGGGCTGTGCTCGTATTGCCTCTTCTGATGGTCTCCTACCTGGATGCCGTGCAGTCCAGTCCTACTCCTCCATGTGGCCCTACAGCTACTCCAAACCATCTTTGCTTCCCAAACTAAATGGTTTCTCTTGCAGCTCTGGACCTCTATTCACTAGTGTTTCCTCCAGTAGTTCTTCTCTTCTGGTCACTCTTCAGGACCAAGTGCACAAATCATCCCTTCTATACAGGCTTTGATAACCTCACTTCCACATTCCCCACCATATACAACCTCTGTGATTTCCAGAATTTTCTAAATATTTTCATTACTGACCTTTACCTACAGTATATCACAATAACCTATTTATCTGTATCCCCTGGCATTTTTCCTCAAAGACAAGAAATATGTCTTACCCATCTCTTGAGTTAAGTGCCTAGCATGATGGCTGATACTTGGGAGGGTGTCATTAAATGTTGATCAAAAGAACAAGTGAAAATTCAAGGTGGTGGAGAGCAGCCTGGTACAGCTAACAATTTGAGTGCTTCCCAGTACTAGCACCAACACCAACACCATCTTTCTTAGCATCTTTCTTGGCATCTTTCTTAACCACAGCTTATTCTAATATTTCTCGGTCTACTCTGAGAGCAGGAATGAGACCAGACTAGCGAGACGATTTCCAAGCTCAAGGACTGTGCTCAATGCAATCAGTCCCGTCAGAGAGACCCCCATCTTAAAGGGTGCCCCACTTTAAAGCAGCATGTTTATTTGAAGAAGAATCCTTTATAGTGGCCAAAAATGACTGAGAGAGGAGCCTAAGCCAGAGTTGGCCCAGGATGTGCCATTAAGGTAAAGAGGTACAAAGCAGAGCAGAGGGACTTTGGGGACATGGGTGCATGATTTACCTGGCCTCTTTCAGGGGGTCCAGATACAGCTGAAGGAGCTTTAGCTACATGAGGCCATCAGAGCCAAAGATGGGCTGCAAATGGAATTCCAGAGAGTGGCTGTGGGGCAGGTCTCTAGGTGTGCAATTTCCAATCTCAGCCTCCCTTAAAGGAGGACCAGGCTGAGATGGCCCATTGTCCACTTTGCCACAGATTCCCATCTTTTTTCCAGGTGAGTCAAAGGCCAGGAGAGCAGGTGCAGTGAGCAGATGCAGAGAGCTGCTATACCTCCAGCTGCTCCACAGAAAGGCCTGCAGGAGTACTCCCGGGCACAGGCCCTCTCCTGCACTACTCCATTTGCAAGTAAAGGGAGGTCGAGGAAAAAGACATCTCCAAAAGGGAGCAAAAGACTAGCCACATTTACAAGGGCATTGCTGGAAAAGTACTCATTGGTCTGTCTTTGCTGGAAAGTAGTTGGAGCTGCTGCCAAAGCAGTAGTGAAATGGAGAGAAACAGGTCTTGTATATCCAACAGTGACATTGATCTAAAATAAAAGTTCCTCTCCAAATGCATCTGAAGTCTGACATTTCTGCTTAACCCTAGGAGTCTGGTTGCCTACCTTCAGTTACAGAGTGATGTGTCATTATTGAAGTCACCTCCTAAAAAGACCTTCCCTTTCTGACTGCCACAAAGTGAAATGTGTTGCTCCCTGTGTACAGCCTGACAGGGTAAATGGAGAGGGAGATGCTGGATTTGTGTATTACTGGTCGCCAGTTCCCATTGTTATTAAGCCTCACATGGGTGTGCTAGCATTGAATTGTAGAATGTCACATAACTGAGTTTGAAAATAAAAGCACATTTCCAAACCTTTGGCAGCTTGCCAAATGCCTCCTCGTTTTATGGAGCCAAGCCATAATCTCACTCCAACCCTGAATTAGATGCTTTTGGATATATTAGTGCCTCCCAGATCCAGGCCAGCGGTCCCCAACTCTGGGGCATTGTACTGTGGGCCGTCTCACAGGGGCTGGATCAGCTCCTCCCCTTTTCTCCTTCCCCATTCCTGATCCTACTTTCCCATATCTTCCTGGTATATGATTTTTTAATTTTCAAAATATTTAGGAGATACAAAAACTTTTATTATTAATACATGGATACACTCTATAATGCTGAGGACTTCCCGTGTGCCCACCACCAGGACAGTGTTCATTATACCCAATAGTAAGTTTTTTGTTTGTTTCTTTTTTGACACAGAGTCTCACTCTGTTGCCCGGGCTAGAGCACCATGCCGTCAGCCTAGCTCACAGCAACCTCAAACTCTTAGGCTCAAGCAATCCTTCTGCCTCAGCTTCCCAAGTAGCTAGGACTACAGGCACGCACCACCATGCCCGGCTAATTTTTTCTATATATTTTAAGTTGTCCAGCTAATTTCTTTCTATTTTTAGTAGAGACGGGGTCTCGTTCTTGCTCAGGCTGGTCTCAAACTCCTGAGCTCAAACTGTCCACCCGCTTCGGCGTCCCAGAGTGCTAGGATTACAGGCATGAGTCACTGCACCCAGCCAACAGGTAAGTTTTTATCCTTCAACCCCGCTTCCATGCTCCCTGCTTCTTAGTTTCCAATATCTTTTGTTTCTTTTTGTGCCCACGTGCACCCAACATTTAGCTCCCACTTATTAGAACATGTGGTGTTTCTCTTTTCATTCCTGAGATACTTCCCTTACAATAATGGTCTCCAGTTCCATCCAAGTTGTTGCAAATGACATTATTTCATTCTTTTTCATGGCTGAGTAGTACTCCACAGTATGTATGTACACCATGTTTTCTTTATCCACTCATGTATTGATGTGCACTTAGGTTGATTCCATATATCTTCAATTATGAATTGTGCTGCCATAAACATTTGAGTACATGTGTCTTTTTGATAAAATGATTTATTTTCCTTTGAGTAGATACCCAGTAGTGGGATTGCCAGGTTGAATGGTAGGTCTATTTTTAGCTCTTTGAGGAATCTCCATACCATTTTCTAATTTGAAGTCCCACCAACAGTATATAATCATACCTCTTTCTCTGCATCCTCGCCAGCATCTGTTGTTTTTTGACTTTTTAGTAGCCATTCTGATAGGGGTAAGGTGATATCTCATTGCGGTTTTAATTTACATGTCCCTGATGATTAGTGATACTGAACATTTTTTCATACATCTTTTGGCCATTTGTCTATCTTTTGAAAAAATTTTGTTCATATCTTTTGCCCTGTTCAACATAGTACTGGAAATCCTAGCCAGACCAATCAGAAATCCTAGCCAGACCAATCAGGCAAGAGAAATAAATGCATCAAAATCGGGAAAGAGTAGGTCATACTACTCCTGTTTGCTAACAATATTATCTTGTACCTAGAAAACCCTAGAGACTCCACCAAAAGACTCCTAGAATTGGTAAATTCAGCAAAGTCTCGGGTTACAAAATCAATGTGCAAAATAAGTAGCATTTTTATATACTAATAACAGTCAAGCTGAGAGTCAAATCAAGGACTCAATACCATTTACAATAGCTATAAAGAAAATAAAATACTTAGGAATATACTTAACCAGGGAGGTGAAAGATCAAGGAAAACTACGAAATACTGATAAAAGAACTCGTAGATGACACAAATAAATGAAAAAACATCCCATGCTCATGGATTGGTAGAACCAACATTGTTAAAAACGTCCATTCTGTCTAAAACGATTTATAGATTCAATGCAATTCCCATGAAAATACCCACATCTTATTTCACAGATCTAGAAAAAATAATCCTTAGCTTCATTTGGAACCAAAAAAGAGCCCAAGTAGCCAAAAACAATCTTAAGC